TATATATATATATATATATATATATATATATATATATATATATTTATATATATTAGATTAGATTAGATTAGATTAGCTTTATTGATCTTACAGCCGAGAAATTCACTGGTCACATATTGGCATAGTAATTAAAGGTGCAAACAAGAAGGAAGAAGGTGCATTAAGAATAAACAATATATCAAGATTAATAAATATATATATATATATATATATATATATATATATATATATATATTCTGCTCCCTCCTTACACACAAACAACACACATCCCTGCTGATCCGAAAGGATGTTGGTTTTGGATAAAAAACAATTTGGCCGACAGAGGGAACAGGCAAAGCTCAGGACTGGTGGAGGGGGAGGAGCTTAAAATGTGCAGACTAATAAAAGGCACACATCCAGCGTTTAGAGCCCTGTGAGGCTGCTTTTGTTTTGCCTTCCATACTTTTCTCTCCAGTTAACTGTAGCAGATGTTCTCAAACACCTGTGGAGCTTTTTTTTATCGGAGCCATGCTGCAGATTATGGAAACATATGGTTATACATCCTGTCTTCATGTCCACAGCAGCACTACATGTGAAGAAATAGTTGCTGTTAGTAGGAGCAATGATGTAAAACACCTTATTTTTCAATTAACATATTGATAACAAAGGAAGACCTAACAAGACCTGCTGATTTCATGAATTTATATTTTCTTGTCTTTAATGTCAGGGTCTTCCTGGTCGTGCCGGTCTTCCTGGTGCTGATGGCTTACCAGGACCACCAGGTACCATGCTGATGCTCCCAGTAAGTCCATTACTAATAAAACCCACACAACCCCATTTACTCATAATGTTGTTTTGCTGCAAGAAAACATCATGTAACATAATGAGCTGTTTTTGTGTGCTGAACAGTTTCGCTTTGGTGGAGATGGTGAGAAGGGTCCGGTGGTGTCGGCGCAAGAAGCCCAAGCACAGGCCATCCTTTCCCAGGCCAGAGTAAGTAAAGCCTGCAGATCATCACCTACATCGCTTTCTGTTTAAACACAGCTGCGTGGGGGAAAGGAAAGTGGTTTGTTGGGAAGCAGAGGGGGTTGCCATGCATTTTTTTTTGGGCTTTTTGAGGCTAAAAAGAGACGTGCTGTGAAGAGATGAGGAGCAACAAAACAAACAGGCCACTGAACAGATGCACGTGCAAGAGAGAGTTAAAGATACTTCATGGCTAGCTATGTTTGGGTCGGGGAGTGTAAAAAGCAGAGGCAATAACACAAAATGACAGAAGTGAAAAGGTGGAAATTCTGCTTTATCTCAGATGAATGAACCATTTTGTAAAAAAAGGCATTTATAGATCATTGTAGATCTTTATTGAGGAAAAAAAAAGAACATCCAACTACATTAGAAAATATAAAATGGTACAATTTTAGGGATTTATTGTTCCTTTTTTTTTCATTTTTTTTTATATTATTTCACCAGAACATGACATGGGTTTTGTTTTCTTAAAATAAGCTTGGCATATGTCGCCAAGTTCAAATAATAACTGAGACCATGGATGCTTTTCAGTAATATATTTGTTCTTAAATTTACTGTATACCTAAATGAAAACAAAATTCATTCCAGAATAAAGACATTTACCTTTTGTAATAGCTAGCATTTCTCAATTTCACCCATCACTACAAATAATCCCTATAAGATATTTTCAAAAGGTACCCATCTGTATTTTTTTGCTGGGAGCCAAATTTGTGACATTCTTGCACCTTGAACAGGGGCCCACTTTAAATCCCTCATAGGGCTACAATTGGCCCCCAGGCTGCACTTTGACACCCATGATTTAAATATTTCTGGATAATCTCCATGTCCTGCATTTATATTTTGCAAATTTATCAGAATAATCCAGTAAATTGCAGGTTTTCTAAGTTATTTAGTGTAGATAAAACATATCAAGTGGAATCTTCTACTCACTTTTCTAAAAAAAAAAAAAAAGGGCTTTTGTTCCACTTGCAGATAAAAGCGAAAACATATTGATTTCTAACTAATCTATCATATATATCAAGACAAGGATATAAACATCATCAACTAATGTTGTTTTTTTTGTTAAGTAAAAAAAATGAGGCATGTCAGAACATGAGAACACTCATTTGGACATCATGTCTCTTTTTTTCAACGTACCACTTTCTATATCTACATTTGTGTATTTTCTACAGCAGCTCTGATTTTTAAATGAAAGTGTTTCCCTAAACAGATCTACTGGTTTTGTCTTTGTTTGTGACCTGCAGCTGGCTATGAGGGGACCTCCGGGGCCAATGGGCTTGACAGGAAGATCTGGACCAGTGGTGAGGCTCGGATTTCAGAAAACATACATGTTTTTTCACATTTTCTTTTCACCCCTGATGTCAGCTTGGATCAATGCAGAGCAGTCAGCTTATTTCTAAGCAAATAGCTTTAATTCAAAGGTAAAAAAAAAAAAAAGAAAAAAAAATGGATTTTAAGGTGCTTTATGTTATAATTTTAACACTTTATTTCTGTCGGTGTTCCATAAAATCTCTCATAAATTTATATTAGCGGCTCAGGGGACACCCTACTTGTCTGTTCACTTTAGCTGCCCCCTACCACACCCAGCCCCTTCATTTTTCTTAGGCCTGTTGATACATGATCCAAGAATTATTACCAGGAAAAACACCTGCGAAAAAACAGGGAATGACTCTCTGTTCGATCTGTTCTTCTCTTCTAGGTAGAAAAACCTAAAATCTGGTCAGATCAGATGTCAATCAGTTGAACCAAAGAAATATGATAAGACGTTATGTATTGATTTTGTATCTTTTATATCATTTCAGGGCTAAAACAATTAATCGGATTAATTGTGATTAATTGATTATTGAAATAATTGTCAGAGCAAACCACTTAGAGCAGTAATTATACCAAAATTGTAAAAAAATGTATAAAAATGTTTCATTTAAGATAAAAAAAAAATGTTTTCAACTGTAAATATGCTCTTTTCTGGACTCAAGTGGAAAAAAGTTTCACCTGGTTTACTTTTGTAAAAAAAAAATGACTTTAAATAACCTTTTGCTATTCGATTATTGATTAATCTAAAAAATGTATGGACAGATTAATCGACTAATTAATCGATTAATAATTGTTAGTTGCAGTCCTAAGTAATTTCATATAAAATCTCAGGTGTTTAATATTTTTTTCCTACTGTTTCACCATAATCAGGGTTTAAATATTTTCTGTTATGCAGGATCTAGTAGCTGAATCAGTTTGTATATAGATGTACCTGACAGAGATGTTGAACATGATCCATTTGTTTTCACTCAGTTATTCAGTTTTAACAGTAATTTTAAAAAATCCTCCTTAAAAGCCTTGATTAATCCAACATCACTATTTATAAAAATTGCCCATAATTTATTAAATGGGAGCAAACAAACCTTTCAAATTGAGGTCATATCTCTATCTTAATGCAGGTGTTGTTGCCTAGAGTGGCATATGTTCTCTTAATAAAAAGCTAAATAATGCCATCTGCTGTTTACTCAGGATTATTTCACTTTTCTTTTTTTTTCTGACTTAAATGGAGCTAAAGATTCACAAAGTGTATTTTTATTTCCAGGGTCCACCTGGACAAGGTGGGTTGAAAGGTGAAAGTGGAGACCCTGGTCCTCAGGTAAGAAAGGATAAAGAACGCAAGTGATGAATCCAAATGTCTTTCACTTTCCACTAAAAGCTACATTCATAGTCTGATGTCGGACTCTAAATGGCTCTTCTGTGTCTGTCCAGGGGCCACGTGGCATCCAAGGACCCCCAGGACAACCTGGCAAAATTGGAAAAAGAGTGAGTGAACTCAGTCACCTTTTACTTCCACACAGGACTGCGAGTGAGGCTGTGTTTTTGTTATTCGATGGGCTCAAAAGCTGAGAGGATTGTTTTCACTTCAACAAACAATTTGTTGATAAGTGCTTACAGGCCTGAGCTGCGGCCAATCCACAGATCCACGGCCTCGCAGCTTAATCTGTCTGAAAATGCCAACGCTGGGAAAGTGGCTGTGGATGAGGGACGGCAATTAGTGTCACGGAGCAGCAGCTTGACGAAGGCCAAACATTCTGACCTAATTGGATACTAATAGAAATAAACCTTGATGCAGCACTTTTAAGAATTTCTAATGTGAATCTTGAATACTTCTCATCACTCCAAATCCTAGCTTATTACATTTGCATTCACAAAAAACCTGCCTGAGTTACACTATAAATAGCCTTGAATTTATATCAATTCTACAAAAAAAAAAATTATCATAATCAGAAAATTGGAATAACTGTCATCTTTGAATGCAACGTGATTGATATCTTTATGCTAAGGTCACACTTCATGCACACTGTAAATATTTGTCAACCTCTGGACAGAACGTCATGCTATTCTAATTAAGTATTATTAGTTAAAAAGGATTCCGTTAGAAAACTAAATTAAATTCCTGTTTGGTTTTGACTGAGACATGACAGTATTTCGGATATTATTTACACATAATGTTTACACTTCCTAACATTTCTTTTTCTAGATCTGCTACTTTCTTGTTGTTCTTAAAACTATTGATATGTTTTATTGATGATGTCTAACATCCCCCTCACCACCTCTTCATGTTGCACTCTTTAAAATTAAACATTTTTTCCATGCTTTTGCTAAAGTAAGAGTCAGGACATGTACCCCGTTAAAAAGGATGCTCAACACATTATTCTCTCTTAGCAGAGATGCACTGATCCAAAATATCAGGGAGATTTCTGATTTTAGATTGTTTGGAAAGATCTGATCTGGTAATGCTTTATAGTTATTTTGATTAAAAAAAGATATAAGAGCAACATTCAAAATAGCTTCTATAGACTTTCTGCCATGAGCAGCGCATTTATACATACATACAAGTGTGTTTCATATATTCTTGTTAATGAGAGTTTTACTCTAAGTTATCTGTTATGGTGTTGTCAGCATTTTATTTTATGACTAGCATGGTTCGAGCTTTTGTCATTGCTAGAACAGCAGTCAGAGTTTACATCTTAATTTATGAGCTTTTTGGATCATTGACAATCCGAGTTTTAAGTTTTTAAGGATAAAACAGAACAACTTGACAACTTGCATTCTGTTCAGGCTCTGTTATCTGCTGATTGTGCTGCTTCTTCTTTATCTGAATTATGAAAAAAACTCAATGACATACAGCTTCTTTCTAAATGTATTCTTACATCTCCAAGCTTCCTGTGAGCAACGTTTATATTATAAACATTCACCAATACAGCCAAAACTGATATTTTTGGTTTCTGACTGCAAATTCCATTTTTAATTCCGAAATACTTTCTTAATGCATTTCTAGCTTAGACTTTTGAATTCAGTTAAATGTTTAATCCTAAGAAACATCAGCTTATGCTGATGTTTTTATTGGGAACCCATTTTTGCTGCATGCTCTCATAACACCTGAAAAATTCAGTAATTTTTATGAACAAATAAAACAAAAAAATATGAACCATCTTCAAATTGTGGCTGCTAATGGAAAAAAATGTAGCCACAAAATTTCTACCGGTGCAAAAAGTTATCCTAATAGGTGATTACATCTATTGATGATAAATAACTCAACCTAACAGATACCAAAAATACCTCCACAGCTTAAAAAGGGTGTTTTCATGGGAAAGCATTTAAAGTGTGGACATGTTCTCTCCGTTTAAGGGTCGGGCTGGTGCAGATGGTGCTCGAGGAATGCCTGGAGAGCCAGGCTCTAAGGTAAAACACCACACAGGGGGAATTATTAACCGAATAAAGAGGAGGTCTGAGGCTGTGTGTCAGTCATGGTCATGATGTGGTTCTATTGTGTTTTCATCCCCAGGGTGACCGCGGCTTCGATGGACTCCCTGGACTCCCTGGAGAAAAGGGTCACAGGGTTAGTTCAAAAACGTTCATAACACTTTTTAAGTTTGTCAGAAACATCAAAAAATATTGTTTTTGGTTTAAATAAGTATAAAGATTAGAAGATGCTGTTCATTTAGATTAAGGATCATGTGAAAAGCTGAAGAAGAAAAAGTGCCACTGATGGATCCTATCACTCATTCGAAACTTTAGTGACATAAAAACAGTTTTCATGTGAGATCAGTCAAAGAATTGCCATTGAATAAAGTCTCCTTATTTCTGGTTTGTATTCTTAGAGGACTAAGATTTAACAACGAGCTAGAGGCTGATTTTAATGTAGCTGGTTATATTTGGACACTGCAATATAATCATGTTGAGTAACCTTCTTAAATATAAATGTGATGAGTGAACAGCAGCAGGTATTGAATGAGAAGCAGGTCTCTGGTCCACTCACTGACTGTGTTAATCAGCATGCGTGAAAAGATGAAATCAAAGGAGAAGGGAATACTGATAGAGGGCTTTGATATAATGCACTCTGCCTGCTAATTCCAAATCTGTTGCCATTTGATTGATTTCTTCAACAGTTTGATGAACTGGTTTAAGGACCTTCAGCCAATGATTCAAAGGGAAATTTCATCTTTGGATCTACACTAAATTAAAATACATAAATGGAAAGTTTTATGGGTAAAATGGTGTATAAATCATGAAACAATGCCCATGTCATGTGTTACTTAATGAATGAAAATAGCTATTAATTAAACCTGATTAATGAGAGTTGTTACATACAAAAATCTTGACCTAAGTGGTATGCAGAGGTTTAGATCTGTCAGACATCAAATAATGTAGAAAATTAGCTAAAAGCAAATTAAAGATCTGATGATAACGATCCTAGAAAATACAACCATTGAGTAAATGCGAATAAATATTCAATAAACAAAAACAAAAAATAGAAATTAGAGTAAAATACTCTGAGAAAATGTTAATAAGAAAGTTTTTAAAAAATTACAGATGCATTTAATCAAAAAGTTAGATGGTTTTATTGTTAGTTATAGTCTTCTGAGGATCAATGTTAGTCTGGGGACAAGCTTAGAATTAGGACTGGGAGCCTGTGAGACTTGCAGAAAATGTCCCTGCTGATTGAAGATTACCCTTAAAAAGATGAGGTTGGTAAAAAAAAAAAAAATCAAGATTTATTCAATTTAATTAAAAATACTTTAATAGTTCCAAAAGGAATTTAAATCTAAGAAATAATAATAAAATAATGAATAGAATAAAATATGCAGTATGGGAAGATGTGGGAATTTCTTACAGAAAGCTTCTACATCTCTATCTCTATCTTTATGAGGTTAAATTAATGCATAAAAAAGAGATGTTTGTGAGAATATTAAGAAAGAAATCTGCAGGAGCCTCACATCAGAGTCTCTCAGTAACATCCTCTTTCTGCTTAATATCTTAAAGTAACACAGATGCCATGCTTTCACTCAGTGCCATTTTTTTTTTTTTTACCAACCTCATCTTTTTAAGGGTAATCTTCAATCAGCAGGGACATTTTCTGCAAGTC